GCCTGGGTGGTGAGCTGAGAGATCAGACTAGAGAGTTAAGAATAGACCAGAAGACCATGAAGAGTCTTGAGTGCCGGGTTGAGGCATTTGAACTTACCCCAAGTAACTAAAGGGAGCTATTGAAAGGTTTAATGAGAGTGACATGATCAGATTAGACTTTGGAAAGACTCTGGCTGCTTTGTAGAAAATAGACTGGAAGGGAATATGAAGAGAGGTAATAAAACCAGGTAAAAAGCTATCATAATAGGCAGGGGATGAAAGTGACCCAAACTGAGGCAGAGATGGTAGGAATAGAGAGATATTAAGGTAGTAGAATCACCAAGACATAGCTGTTGAGGGAGGTGAGAGAGAATCAAAGATGACAGATTTTTGGCTTGGGCAACTGGGTGATAGTGGTGCCATTCCTGAAGGTAGGGAATACAGGATGGGGAAGAGAGAACTACGATCCTGGTTAATTCAGTTTATTTCTCTAATCCTCACTAATCTCATTCATATAAGGCAGAAGGGCTGAGGGAGTTGCCTAGAGTCACTACTGTACAATTACTAATGTCCTAAGATTGGCACCAGCAGATTTATAAAGAGAGGCAAGATACCAGAATTGCCCTTTTCACTTTTTGTTTCCATTTTATTTTATTGTGGTAAAAAATACATATCATAACTTTATCATTTTAACGATTTTCAGGTATACAACTCAGTGGCATTAGCTACTATCTTAGTTCGGTCTGCCATAACAAAATACCATAGGCTGGTGGTTTAAACAACTGAAATTTATTTTCTCACAGTTCTGGAGGCTGAAAGTCCAACATCAAGATGCCAATGTGGTCAGTTTCTGGTGAGAGCTCCCTTCCTAGCTTATAGATGCTGATTTCCCACTGTGTCCTCACATGGTGGGGGGAGAAAGAGAGCAAACTCTCTGGTGTCCCTTCTTATAAAGGCATTAATCTCATCTTGAGGGCTCCACCCTCATGAGCTCCAAACCTAAAATCTCCCCAAGACCGCATCTACAAATCGTATCACTTTGGGAGGTTAGGACTTCAACATATGAATTGGGCGGGGGTGGGGGGGGTGGGGGTGGTGCATAATTCGGTCCATAGCAACTACATTCACAATATTCAACCATCACTACCATATATTTCCAGAACTTTTTCATCATCCCAAACAGAATCTCTGTATCTATTATAATTCTCCCACTCTCCCCTCCCCTGAGTCCCTGGTACCTCCCTCCATTCTACTTTCTGTTTCTACGAATTTGCCTATTCTAAGTACCTCATACAATATTTGTCCTTTTGACTTTGGCTTATTTCACTTAGCATAATGTTTTCAAGGTTCAACCATGTTATAGCATGTATCAGAATTTCATTTTTTAAAGCTGAATAATACACCATTGTATGTATACACCACATTTTGTCTATCCATTCCTCCATCAATGGACATTTATGTTGCTTTCACCTTTGGCTATTGTGAATAATATTGCTATGAACATTGGTATGCAAGTATTACTTGAGTCCCTGCTTTCCATTCTGTTGAATTCTACCTTGGAGTGGAATTGGTGCATCATATGGTAATTCTATGCTTAACTTATTGAGGAACCACCAAAATGTTTTCCACAGTGGCTACACCATTTTACATTCCCATCAACAATGCACAAAGCTTCCAATTTCTCTACATCCTCATCAGCACTTGTTACTTTCCTTTTTTTTTTTTTTTTGCGGTATGCGGGCCTCTCACTGCTGTGGCCTCTCCCATTGCGGAGCACAGGCTCCGGGCGCACAGGCTGCGGACGCGCAGGCTCAGCGGCCATGGCTCACGGGCCCAGCCGCCCCACGGCATGCAGGATCCTCCCAGACCAGGGCATGAACGGGGCATCGGCAGGCGGACTCTCAACCACTGTGCCACCAGGGAAGCCCCCATTTTTTATATTAGCCTAGCCATCCTAATTGATGTGAAGTTGTATCTCATTGTGGTTTTGATTTACATTTCCCATTTCACTTTCCAGCCCAGCATATCTATTACTTGCATTTGTCTTCCAGCATGGTTTGCAAAAATTTGGGGGCGTGTTGGTAAAGGAGGGAGATTGTAAGAAAATACTGGAAGAGTTATTTCCTGAAAACTTGTAACAATGATAGACTAACTTTAACTTTATTATTTATTTATTTTTGGCTGCATTAGGTCTTCGTTGCTTTGCGCGGGTGAGGGGGGGCTACTCTTCGTTGCAGTGTGCAGGCTTCTCAATGCGATGGCTTCTCTTGTTTTGGAGCATGGGCTCTAGGCACAGGAACTTCAGTAGTTGCAGCACGCGGGCTCAGTAGTTGTGGCACACAGGCTTAGTTGCTCCACAGCACTTGGGATCTTCCTGGACCAGGGCTCGAACCTATGTCCTCTGCATGGGCAGGTGGATGCTTAACCACTGTGCCACTAGGGAAGTCCCACAATTATAGACTTCTAATATGTAAAACCAAAAGAAGAGCAAGATAATCTTGGCTATGCTGCAGAATAACACTCTGAAACCTTAGCAACTGAAGGACTCCAGATGAGTGACAGTGACAGTCATAACCGTGCCCAGAAAAGGCAGTGGAAATAGCAATGCCAAATGGAAGGGGCTGGAGCTGGAGATGATGAATTTAAGTACCAATACCACGTGACTACACTTGTTCACAAGCATATCACAAACACCTGTGAAACACCTCTGAGGCTTCCCTGAAACACCTGGGGATATATATTGCAGGGTGTGGGTGAGGGCAAAGGAACACATGCTGACCATTTTTCTCACTGTTACAACACTAACAAGTGTTAGTTTCTATTTGCTTAGGCTAGATTCCTAAAAGTGGAATTGTTAGGTCAATGTTTTTAAAGATTTTACTTTCCAGAATGATTGTAGTAGCAATTTATTTATTTAGTCATTTATTTATTTTTACTTAAATAGAGGGGATTAACTTGATCTTATTCCTGACTTGCAAAGCCTCTCACATTAGTTTATTTATTTTTTATTCTCTTTTATCCATATTTTCCAACCTCATTCCCCTTTCTCACTGTAGGAAAACATTCCAGTCTGTTTAGTGTACATCCTTTTGTCTGCAGGTGTTTATTTGAAATGTGTACCATTGTTTCAGATGCATGTGTTTTTTTCTTATGTAAATAGTATTATAAAATATATTTTTTCTTTTTTTCTTCCTTGCAGCAACATGTTTTTAAGATCTAGTCCATTGCTTCTAACTACTGCATAGTACTTATCCACCACATTTTGCTCAAGGACTTCTTCAGTTATGGACACCCACATTGTCTCCAACTCCCAACAACCAAAAACAATACTGCTGTGAATATATTCATATATGCCCCTTATTGTGACCTGTGAGAATTTGGGGGGGTTATATATCCAGTAGCAGAATTGAATATGTTATAGTTTTTTCTCCTTTATATAGCTTTGATTTACATTTTTGATTACTGATAAGGATAAGAGTGTGTGTGTGTGTATTTCTTTAACCAGTGTATTCTTCCAGGAATTTTCTGACCACATTCTTAGCCCTATCCTCCATTACTTCTTTAAAGACTAACTTGGTCTGTAATTGATTGTAACACATTGAATAAATTTGATACATGAGTCCACATGTGAGTCCATAATGATACTCAAAGAGAGAACGAGTGAAAGGAGAAAAAAACTCATTTGCACCAATGGAAATACTATGACACCAACTTCTTTGTCAGGAAATTGATAATTAAAGAGAAAGAATGAAACATTTAACCTGCCATTTTTGGAAGAAATTAGGTTCATTCCCAATTGATGAGGGAAAACTCTCCTTTATAGAAGAATGTAGCTAATAAATGTAGAAGGACTGATAGAATTGGAAAATCACCATTTTGCAATCTCCAATAAGATAATTTATTCAGGCAAGGATCATCACTGAATGTTAAACTATTAAAAAAGAAAGAAAGAAAAAAGACCAATCTACCATTTTATCAATTTCGTACCACTCTCTTGCCCTAGAACACTTCCAGTTTGGCTGCTGCTCCCACCATTGTATTGAAACTGCAATGCTTAAAGGACAATGATGACTTCTCAGTTGCTAACCACAATGGCCTTTTCTCATCCTCCATGATCTCTTGATGGTATTTGACATTAGAGGCCACCTCCTTTTTCTTGTAACTCTTTCCTTTCATCCACAAAGGACTGGTTATCTGCTGCTATATAACAAACCAACCATATTATTAATAAGTTATTATTATTTCTCATGATTCTGAGGGAAAACTGGGCTCAGTTGGATGTTTCTCACTCAGAATCTCTTATAAGGTTGCAGTCAGATTCTCGCTAGGGCTAGAGTCATCTGAAAGCTCGACTGGGATAGATATCCAAGATGGCTTCCTCACTCACTTTTCTGGTCCCTAAGCTGAGATGGCTGGAATAGCTGGGAGTTAACAGGGCATCTCTTTTTCTCTCAATGTGGCTAGTTTGGGCTTCCTAAAAGCACCGTGGTCTCAGGATAGATAGACTTCTTACAGAGTGCCTGGCTCCCCCTAGAGTAAATGTTCCAAGTGTCCCAGGTCAAAGCTGCAAGGCTTCTTATGAGACAATTAATGGTCTCCTCCTCATCCACTATGTATCATCCACTATGTCCAGCATTGGGCTCTTTAGAGGGGAAAAAGAACCTAAAGACCCTTCCAAAGATGAGTGTAAAACCCATCCATATCTTTATTGTTTCATTTTTAACTATGTGTGTATCCATATCTAAACCCAAAGCAATTTTGAAATACTTTATATCAAGTCTTTCAAAAGCGTTTAATTTAGTTTTCATAGAACCAGGAAGTCTATCTTTTTGCACTTGTGTTTCTGCAGTTACTTAATATTTAATTAATTAACAAAATTGCAGTAATAAATACAACTAACATAAACAGTTTGGGGGACAAAATACCAGAAAAGCAGCCATTGGCTGTGAGTGTTCAGTATACAAGGGCATAAATCAGTGTATTTTATGTAGGGAGTGAAAAGCATTGGTTAATCTGCTTAATCAGTTAAAAGAGTTTCTAACTTATCTTTTATTGAACATTTTGAATTGGAAGTAACAGAAACCACGTTAAGAAACATAGAATGTATTGGCTTCATTCAGGGGCTCAAATGATGTCATCAGCTCCCAATCTTCCTCCATCTCTCAGCTGTGATTGCTACCATGTTGGCTTCATGCAAGATTCCATGTGGTGGCAGGATGGTGATGGTAGCTCCTAGCACAGAAGAGAAAACATGTATTCCTCTCAGCAATCCTAGCAAAAGACTCACAACTCATTATTGGCTAAGATTGGGTGCGTGCCCACCTCTGTACAAATCTGTGGCCAGGGCACTGTGTTAACCTGATTGATTAGGACTGAGTTCCATGCCCCCCTGAAGCCCTACCTAACCCCATGGACTAAGAAAAATTGCCTTGGAATGTTCCAGCATGCAACTATAGAAGTCCATTGCTGCAGTAATTATTGAAGGAAGGACAATGTGCTCCTTGAGGGCAAGTATAACTTCTTGTTCCTCCCTGTACTCCCTCCCCAACTAACCAGCACCCTGTCTGTTTCCCTCCACACAGCAGGCATTACTTACGGGGAACTAAAAATCGCAGGCATCTTTCTCTTCATTTACTGTGCACCTTAAGGCAGTTTATAGAAGACTTGCTCTTAGTATGCAAAATGCCAGTCCCCATTTGCCTGAATTTTATCTTTTGATCTCTCATGCTGTCAAAAGGTCTCAAAGCATGGACTTCAACAGGGTTTGGACTCAAAGACCCACAGAGCTGAACTCTGTATAGAATCCTCTGAGTAAAGTCTTTCCTCTCCATCTCAAGTCTTGCATTTTGCCTTATAAGGCTGGTTATGGTGAGGCAGTTTTAATTTCATCTTCTGCGTTTGTACTAGAGCCACTTTTAAGGACTCTCCTTAGGTCTTTCCTGTAGTCCTCCTCCTCCCTTCCCCCTTCCCTTGGTCCCTCCCTTCCCTGTAGCCACAGCTGCTTGGCTCCAGGGCACTCAGGCACTGTCACCTAGGCAACGTAGGAGGGGGCTTCAATCTACTGTCTCCCCAGAGGGGCTGGGCTGGCCCTGAGCCAGGAAGAGGCAGGGGGCAGGGGACCTGACTGGCCCTGCGCAGAGTGTGTCGGGAAGTAAACAGACCATTGGTGTGTTGCCTGCCAGAAGAGATGGGGAATGTCAAGTCTGTGATTGTCTGTGTTGTACTAGCAAAATGCCAAGGATGCTATGGCTGGTTGAGAGAACAGGAATGGGACAGGAAAAAAGAAGGCCTGATGCATCTTGGCTTGATGCAGTATCAGGGGGTTAAATGGCTGAGGTTCTGCATTAGTTTCCTGGGGCTGTGGTAACAAAGTATTGCAAACCAGCCAGCTAAAAATAATAGAAATGTATTGTCTCCCGGTTCTGGAGGCTAGAAGTCCCAAATCAAGGTATTGGATGGACCACTCTCCCTTCAAAACCTGCAGGGGCATCCTTCCTTGCTTCTTCCTAGCCCTTGGTGGTTTACTGGCAATCTTTGGCGTTCCTTGGCTTGCAGCTCAATAATTCCAACCTCTGCCTTCATGGTCACATGGCATTCTCCCTGATTGTCTCTTCATGTGGTCATTTTCTCATAAGGACATAGGTCATATTGGATTAGGGGTCCACTCTACTCCTGCAGGACTTCATCATAACGAATTACATCTGCAACGATGCTATTCCTAAACAAGGTCACATTCTGAGGTATGTGTTGGACTTCAACATACGTTTTCTAAGGGGACACAATTTAACCTCTAACAGGTTCCCAAAAAGGTATGAACGACAGGTTTAGAAGTTCCTGTAGTATAAAACAAAGACCTGGAAAGGTTATTTGACTGAACTAAGGAAGATTTGGAACACCAGGCTTAGGAGCTTGGCTTTTACTTAGCAGAGGGGAGTCAAGAAAGGTCTCGGAGCAGGCGGCAGTGTGACCACCTGTGTGACTGACTACCTGTGTGACTGACTACCTATGAGACCCAGGATTTTGAGTCATTTGTTGCTTTTTATGTTTTAGTACCAGTGGAATGAACCCCTTCTTTCTTCAGTGCATAATCCCTAACTGTCTAGGTCTCAGCCCAACCACATAGTTGAAGGCTGGAAAAGCCTTCAAAATGAATAGCACAGAGTTTGGCATAGTTCAGAAATAAGACCGCCACTTGGCAACCAAGTCAGCCTTAATTGCCTCATAGTCAAATGAAGATAATCAGAGTACCTATCTCATAATATATATCATATATATGTGTGTGTGTGTGTATATATATATATATATGTGTGTGTATATATATATAAGAAGAATGCCTGGCAAAGTAAGAGCTTAACAAATGTTCACAATTATTATGCAAAGATGAACTGTTCATTTGGCGAAGAAGGGCAGGAAAAGCAATTATTATTAGTGGTGGTTGTTAGACTTTAGATCCTGGAACTACTGTCCCTTCCTTCTCCCTTCCAGGAATAAGTCTCCCACATCTGCACAGCACTTTTCAGTTTTCGAAGTACTCTGTCATTCATTCTCCTTCTGTGTAATCCTCTTGACAATCTTGTGAGGCAATCAGGGCTTTCATTATTGTCTCCATTTTGCAGATGAGAAACTGAGACGCAAATGGAGTAAATCACCTGCTTTCAACATTTTTTCTTCTGGAACATTTTGAGAGATGATGCTTTCAGGTGGACACACTCCCCAATGTAATTCCTGCCATATCTTCATCTCTTTCTCTACCTTTGGAAAGTATTTGATGTTACACAGCCTTTAAGAAAGGTAAGAAGAGCTATATGCAATTCATGTGGAACTATATCTTTGATATATTGTTGATGAAAATAAATCAGATTGCAAATTTACTATTTATAGTAATATTCTATGTATGTTTACACATGCCTAAAGCTGTCAGAAAGGCCACATAGGAAACCGTTCATAGTGGTTAACCCTGGAATTGAGGAGTGAGACGTGGCAGAATGGATGGAGGGAGCATTCACTTTTACTTTACACGATTTGTAAATAATCGTGTATTATTTTTATAATGAAAACCTTATTCAGTTTTGAAAATAAAGCATGCAGTATGCAAGCAGCATTATTATATGCATACCTTGAAACTGCTCTGATTTTCTTCAAGGAAATCATTCATGAACATGCATAGAATATCTCTGGAAGGGTATTTACGAAGCTGATGACAATGGTTGCCTCTCAAGAGAGAGAATGGGGGACTGGAGTTCGGACTCAAGGATGAGAGGAAAATGGACCTTTCACTGTATACTCTTTTATAAGATTTAATTTGTTTTTAATCAAGTGCATGTATTATGAATTCAAATAAATTGAGAGAAAATTCCTAAAAGCTTCAGTGATTTATAATTACCAATGAATAATTTGTAACTCACCTCATGACTGATTACAACACACCAGTGCTTCCCACTGTATTAGATACTAAGCAGAGTGCTAAGATCCAAACTCAGGACTTCTGACTCCAAGTCTGAGGCTTTTTATACTACATTATTGCCCAATGCGGTTGCTTCAAGGGCTGCACCCTCTCATCCCCAAAACCCCTCAGGCCTACCCCCCAGGCTCAACAAACCATGGCAGTAACATCACAATTGTCATGGCAGAAAAGTCAGGACTGTGGAATTAACTCCCAGCTAGTCTTTAACCAACCACACTTCTGTATTGTTTCTTTTTTTCACATTGAGATATAACTTACATGTGGTAAAGTGTACAAATGTTCATCTCAGTGAATTTTTATATATGTTCACCTGTGTAATCACCATCCAGTTCAAAATATATACCATACCATCTTTCCAGAAGGCTTCTTCAGGCATCTCCTGCACATACCACCCCCTAAATATAACCCCTATTCTGGCTCCTAGCCACCGCAGATTAATTTTGCCTGTTTTTTTTTTTTTAATTTTGCCTGTTTTTGAACTTCACATAAATGGACTCATAAAATATCTACTCTTTGGTGTCTGTCTTCTTTTGCTTAACGCTATATTGTGAGACTTATCCATGTTGTATGTAACAGTTGTTTGTTCATTCCAGGAGTGGAAGTGCTGAACCACAGGGTATATGCACACTTAGCTTTATATATACTGCCAAACAGTTGTTCAATATTGTTGTACAATTTATCCTCCTACCCGTAATACAAGAAAGTTTCAGATGCTCCGCATTCTCACCCACACTTGATACTGTAAGTCTTTTTAATTTAAGCCATTTTGATGGGGGTCGCAACTCAATCTTGATCCCCCCTGACACACCTCGGTTCTCTGGTTCCCCATCTGCTCAGTGTTCTGGTCTAACAGCCCCTGAATGGATGTTTCCTACTCCTGATCAATGCTTCCTGCTCTTCTTTCCTGGAAGAGAGCCCTATCCTGCTATAAACCCAGCTATGGATTGAACTGTAGCGCTCACCACAAACAAATCTGATTTCTGCTGCAGGCTGAGACCTGATTCCAGTACGGACTGAGCCCTAATACTGATCACAGACAGGTCTCTTTCCTAATCACAGACTACATTCATAGCCCACCACAGACTGAGCCCTACTCACAGCTACCCGGTGAACCCTGACACCAACCACAGTCTGAGCCATGACCCCAGTAGTAGACCAAGCTCTAATGCTAGACGTAGTCCGAGCCCTGAACCTACTTACAAACTAACCTGAGCCAAACTCAGACTGATAAATACAAATGGATCAAGCACAGTGTTAGAACTTACAGTTGACATTTGAACAACACAGGTTAGAACTGCAAGGATCTTCTTACACGTGCATTTTTTTCTCAAATACTATAAAATCCACTGTTGAATCAGCGGTTAGTTGAATCCGTGGACGTGGAAACGCAGATATGAAATACAGTAATTGGGATATGAAGGAACTCCAGGTGAGGAGCGCAGACTATAAGTTATAGAGGGATTTTCAACCGTGCGGTGGGTGGGCACCGCTAACTCTCACGTTGTTCCAGGGTCAACTTTATTAGAGAAAGAGAAATTACAAGAATAAAGTGCACTGTGAAGTGAATTACAATCTCTACGGTCTCTTCTTGGTTCACTTCAAATTTTAACTGGAACTAAATTTTGCTAAGTTAGGGAAAAAGACTATAATCAACCCCACCCTGACATGTTGTAAAGAACAGGCTGGAGGCGGGGGAGTGTGGCTCAAGGAAGCCTAAAGCTGAGCTAGCCCTGCAGATGGTGGTGGAAAGACAGGCAACCTTCTTCCT